AGGCTCAGAGCCTCCTCTCTTCTGATTGGCTCACTGACCTGTTGTTACTAGAGCTCCAGAGAGAAGCCTGAGAGAGGAGACGTAAAACTACACTGAGATGGTTTTTGGTTCTTAAAACCACAAATATATCTTCTTATGGATCAACACTTCAAATGAAACACAAGAGAGGAGGAAAATTCCAGTCTATGTTCAGACTAAGAGACTTAGAATAGCACTGTGTCCAAAGTCTATATAGAAAAGTTTAATCTGGCTCAATTTTTTGCCACAGCACAATACAATGTCAAATACATGCAAGCACAGATTCATCATGGGGTAATTCCACTGTTTACTATGGGATATTATTGTGACCACAACAACTCTCCAGAGACAAGTTGTGTTTTGTTTTCTAACAGTCTACTAACAGTCATTATGAACATGTTGACCAAACAGACTGTTTCATTACAACCAGTTCAGGCATAGGGCTACCATGGTAACCAGTGTACTCGACCATTAAACAGCCCTACAATAAAGAGGAGCGATCAGAGTAAACTGAGTGTTGCAACAGAAACAGTTTACAGCGGTTCTTTATCAATTTGACTCATACTGAGACATATGCTCTTAATGTGCCTTGTAATGTGATGGGGCCCAGTCATCAATCAACTCACCTCCAGAAAACAAGGCAAACACACACATCATGGGATGTAATCTCACTGCATATATTATAACAAACAGCATCACTACCTTATCATCTTTAAGTCATATAAAAGTTAGCGTTTAAATGAAAAAAGCTGTTCCTGCAACTACTGGGCAAAGAAAAAGTGGTGTTGTATCCCAGTTCAGCTTTATTAAAGAAAACTGTCATTTTTCATGAATACAGAATTGAATACAGAATTCAGGATTGTGCTTTATGTTAATGTGCAGAACAAATTGTACTTGAATAAACTGACTGAATGGCTGAATCGTAGTAGTGGTAGTTTTTTTTTTTTTTGAGTTAGAATGGAGTTAACAAGGAGGCCCATACTCATGCACAACATATCTTAAATTCATTGTGATTTATTGATTGTAATAGTTGTAATGTAACATAAAAATATACAAAAAACACAATACAAACCACATATATTCAACAGCCTGAGTGAAACTGAATGAAAGCGCTCATAAACCACTCGATTTCTTTCCCTTTATTTCTCAGCGTTTATTCCCTGGTTCCCAGGATCAATCTTTTCTTTGCAGTGATAAATTTAGTACATATTCTCCATAAAGTTCCATAACTGGCATCCATTCAATCTTGTTTCATGAAAGTGAGCTCGTCTTCCTCCTAACCATCGTCACGCTCCCTCGCACTCTCACACCTGTTCAGAGATCCACAGGGGCAAGACGCTCAGCGTGGATAAACAGAGAGATGCAAAAATCAAACCATTTCAATCATAAATTTCTTTGTAGAAATATGCTGCTGTAAAAGCAAATGCATGTTTTGCCCTTCCGCAGGGCCACTGGCCCAGAAACTCTGCTCCATTGAAAACTGGCTGTTGTGATGGATTTCTAAAATTAGAAAAGTCGGGATTCTTGATGAAAACTGACAAGTATGTTTTTTTTTCTTTTGTAAAACTGATGCATATTTTGAAAACAAAAGACTTCATGAATGCAGTAGTAATTTAGTCCAACATGTAATTTCACAATTTCACATTTATCAAGATAATTGTATGTCAGCTTAACATCAGCTACTGGCTTTAAATTGACCTCCGTTATTTTGAATCTTTTGGATTATATTATGCTACTTTATTTATTTAATTTTCTTTCATATTATACATTTTTTTAATTTAAATTTTACTGATATCTCTCATGTTCCCTGAAAGGGAAGTAAAAGCAAATGTTTCAGAACTGTGTGCATGCAGTAGTGGTGTACTTCAGCCTCTTGTGGACAAAATGAGTATTTCAAAAACCAGTCGTGACAAAACAAAAAATCACTTGCCTCTCAAGGTTTTCACAGATGAAAAAAAAAAGAGCCTGGCCAGGGCATCCACTGACTTGCCAATGCAGTATTATCATTTAATAAATAATAAATGTCAATTTCAGTGTCAATATATCAAATTTCATGGCAATCTATCCAATAATTTTGGAGATATTTAATTTAAAAAACCAAAGTGGTGATAGAGGTAATGTTGCAGGATCACCAAAGTGTGCAGGTTTCACCCTCTGGGAGCCATGAATGTACAGTACATACATAATTATATATATTTCAGTGGATAAGTGAAAACTTTGATCTGTTGGTGGCGCTGGAGGAGAGTCAGAAGATCACTAATGTCATTACAGTTCATGCTCTGGAGATTATAAATGCCTAACTGTTGTTTCCAGTCAAAATTGACAGTAAATAAATATCATTTATGAATTTTGTACTAGTAGTAAATACCACGGAAAATATACTGTGCTATTTATCACAGACCAGTTAGTATCTGAGTGTAGGTAGGACATTTATTTTGAAACCCATCAAATATTTAAACAGTGGTACAAAACAGCAGCAAGTAACAATAACAGGATCACTAAAAACTAATGCATCAGGGTTCACAATTAGTAATTAACCACTTGGTGAGTGTTGTGTATGTGCTCATGCATATGACTGACAGTATGTGATGGTATTTGCATTGTGCTTTGTAAATGTGTGTGTTGTATACCGGGCATTTTGCAGGTTGGCCGACTCACCTTGGGGCCGATATGATTTTTTTTCTTTCTTTCTTTTTTTTTTTTTAAAAACACCCCTCCACACAAACACACACATACACAAATATCCACCACACCTCCCTCTCTGTCCTCTCTGTGTCCCGTGTCAAACGCCGCTCAGAGGGACACACCTGTGGACGAAGGAGGGAGACGTTCAAAATGGACACACAGCAACATCAAACACGGAAGAAGGGAGGTGTGGAGAAGTTGTGAGCGTGAAATCCCACATATGTTTGCTTCAGGGGCCACAACAGCCTCAACTTCTACGGTGTCTTTCGGTGCCGTCGTGCAGCAACAGGTGGAAGGAGGAGATGCAGGAGAGTGACAGGGAAGCCGAAGGAGCACGGTGAGCAGGAGGAGAGTATAGTCCAAGTGGAAGCAGGAGGTAGCACGCAGGTAAAAACGGACACTCAGGGAGTAACGTTAGGCTGTGTGTGCCGACATGTTGATGATGATGCTGAGTAATGTTAATTCCTTAAAGTGAGACCATCAGTCAATCAATTGCCAATTGCATATATCATATCATATCTTATCATTAACATTCTGAAACTGAGGGTTCCCTTGATAAAGACGCGCAAAAAGGCTGTAAAATAGGTTACATCTATAGCTCTACTGTGCTAAAATGTATTCCTTATAATCAATTGACCTAGTACAGGGAAAAAGTTGTTATTTTCAACAACAGGCAACAAAGTTGTCCTATGTTTACTTTCAGGAATGTGGTAATTATTATTATATAAATTGTGTTGATTACTGTTATTACTATCGATGGGATTATATGTAGTCACTAAAATCTTTTCCTCACCTACAGTGTGTTTCATGTTGTTTGTTGCTGTGCTGTGATGTGCATCTCTTACACAGGTCTGTTACTCCTCTGAACATTAATATTATATGAAAAGTTATTATCTATTGACAGTATAAGCCCCATATGCAATAGCCATCATAAATATTTTGATACCTGAAATCTGTATGAATTGAACAGTTATTGTGCAGTGAAGTAGGATGGAACAGCTCTATGCATGCATAACTGCATGGATAAACAACTATTTGGCCATTACCATTATACTGTTTAATTTGTACAGGGTTTTGCACATCAAATAATATTAAACGGTTGATACTTCTAGCAGAGCTTTTTCTGTGCCAGTTCCTGGTACTTCTACTCGAGTATGCGTATTGTGTACTCCACAGACACATGATCGCCAGGGAGTCAGTGAAGAGTGAGTGAGTATACTGGTACACTTGCATTGCTACACTTGTCCGTAGCACAAAAAAACACAGCTGTAGTAAAGTACGCATATTTAAAAGGACTGCAAAGGAGGTGTGGTGGGTGGTGCTCCACCAATTGAGAGGGGGCCGGTCCAGGCCCCCTCTCAATTGCCTCAAAATTGCCAGAGCCGATTTTTTTTGTTCCAGTCCAGCCCTGCCAGAGAGGTGCCATAATGACCCAATCCCAAAACTATACTGTCTTTTTTCTTGTAATGCTAACATTAGGGTTTGTTCCTTTCATGCTTGTTTGTTTAACGTTTTTTTGGCCGTTGTTTGCAGTTTTTTTGCTTCCGGACGTCCCCTGATAACCATGGCAACCCAGTATTTAATGTCACAACACTATGAACTTTAGGTAAAGCCCTCAGGCAAAGTCTACAGAAATGCAGCCGTACGGACAGTGTGCATAAAGCGTCTGCTGGAGAGCCCTCATGCCCTCGATGGTTATACACTGGGACAGAACTAAGACCTCACAAACTTCCCGGGAACACGTCTCCAAGTCTGTGAGTCTGTGAGGGGGGAACATTGGGATTGGGCCAATTAGTCAGCCGAGGCTGTCTTTTTCCTGCCCTGCTCTCTCCTTCTATCCGCTTCCTTCACTGCTTCCACCCGCAAGACGCGACTGACTCCTCTATTCAGCAGTTCCTTGTTTTTCAAAAGACGCTCCCAGGTGCAAGAAATGAATAGTGAGTCGCCCAGCAGCAGGAAATCATAAAAGGTCAGGAAAAAAAAACACACTCACAGCAGGAAAACACAAAATATAAAACATGCAATAAATAAAACCACTGCACACGAGGTATGAAACGTGAAAAACAGATTAATAATAATAATAGTAATAAACACATCCATCACCTGTGTGACACTGTGTGTTTTTTTTTTTTGTTCCTTTTTAGCAGGCAGTCAGAGGGGCAGAGGGGTGTCAGGAGCCAGCCTGATTTCACTTTCTCCTGATTCCTGATTACTGACTCCTGATTATTCCTGATGAGTGGCTGGATGTCAGTTCTCTCTCTCTCTCTCTCTCTCTCTCTCTCCTCCCAGCTAACAGGATGCGGACGAAGACCAATGAAGAAGCAGCATGGGACACACCTGGGCCGGGTTATAAGGCTTATAAGGCAGAGCAGCAGCAGTCAGAAGGTAGCAGATCTTCTCACTACACACACACAGCTGCATTGTGGGGTTTTGGGAGCGGTTTTCCCTTTTGTTTTGCAGCACAACATCCATGCAGTGCATTTTCACTCACCTCACTCCCTACACCACTGACTTTACAGTCTAGGAGCCGGGCTGTAACACGGTATAGGAAAACCAAGGTAAGAATGTATTTTCAGATTAGCCTTTTCTCCATAGTCTCTACAATATGATTCTTTCCTTACCATTACAATGTTTTCCATCCAGCCTTCTTGGTCTGGATCTTTGGGGACAGCTACAACCTCATCACAGCAGTGAAGGAGAACCTGCACCACCTCCACCTGCAGCAGCGCTCAGAGATGCAGGTGGAAGGCTGGTGCCATTGACGGGGCTCACGGGTGTGTGAACAGTGTTACGGCCTCATGTGTTCATTGTTTAAGTGGCAGCCTTGTACATCAGCCTCACATGAGGTTTGACACTCCCAGGTTAATTTAACTGGATGAAGTTCATTTCACCACCAGGGAAATTATATTTTAAACGGTTGTGCTGAGTCCATTAAAGCCCGACTTCAGCAGCAGTGAAATGTTCATGTGTGAGGAAGGAAATACACATTTGGGTAGTTGGGACTTGGTGCCTGTCTGTCTGCATGCAGTGCCCTCTTCCTTTAACTTGCAAAGTTCCTCACTATCTTGCAATACCCTTACCTTAGCAACCAATACAGTCTGGGGGCCCCTCCCGGCCCCCTGGTAAGTTGACCCTACGTGTTACACTGTAATGCCTCTAGAGGAAATTACCTTCTTGTTTCTACACCTTTTGATCACCTTGTTATCCTGTCTGGTCACATGTCTGTAACCCTACCACCCCACCCCACCCTTTTCCTCAACTGTACAACTGTCCCCCTGCCCTTCACTCTGGGTCAGTCTATTGCCTCAGACCCGCTCTGTGTCAGTAGGCTCACCGTATTCTGGAATATCAATAAACTCACACCACTACAGCAAACTTGGAACTCAGGACTTGAGTGTATTTTATTCAACATGTGACAGTTTGTTCTCTGAAGTTGAGTCTAAATGGATTCTTTTTATCCCCACTGTAGCTGAAACATATTTTACATTCAAATACTGTGTGAAAGGGACAAAAAGGCAAACGGACAGTGACCTAAGTAAACCCAGAAGCTGTTCACATGAGCAGACCTCAGATCAGCTTCTTCCTCCAAAGTGTGAGTCTGCTTCATATAAACTGTGTCACACTGAAGGTCTCATGATGAATAGTGGCTCCTGGACTTCTTGCACCTTACCTCCATTTCTGATGAACTGCTGCAACAGCTGTTTCAACCCTGCATTACAGCCGACCTACAGACTGTTGCACTGTGCTCACTTTAAATGTCCTTAACCCTGCAGGCTACAGCCTTTACTCACGGTGTGCAGACTGCTGCACCGAGTGCTGTGAACTATATATGAAGTATTAATCTTTATATTGTGGTTTCTAGTGTCTAATGTTTCTATTGTTAAAAAACATATATGTTGCTCTGGAGATTCATCTACCTCCATTATGCAAACTTCTCTTGTGACAGTTACATTGACCTTTACTTTCATCCACAGCTGATTTTTTTTAATTTATTTTTTTTATTAAATTAGTTTATTACATTCTTTTACACACCTTGTCTGGTGTTGATCAATAATATAATTCTTGAAATCAATGCAGTTTTTAATGTGCAGTTAAGGTGTTTATGAAGCTCTTGCTCTAAGTTTATTGTTTTTATGGCGCATATCTGCTGTAAATTTTAACAATAGCGACATGCACAGTATCGTCACACCAGAACACACTGATGGAGGGTTTACCACAATTTGTCATTTATTACAAAGCTATTTCTGTGAGCTCTTAACTAACAGCATAAATAATAGAATTGTTTAGTAAATGTCGCTGCTCCTGAACATTGACAGTGAAGGATAGAAGAAGAGTTTCGACTTTCCTTGTGTGTTTTATGTACATATAAGTTTTAATGACACTGGAAACACTAATTCACCAAAGTGTCCTGTTAGATTATGGGAAATCGTCAATTTGGAAAAACCAGGCAAGAGTGTTCTGTAGTTAATGGAAAACTATAATCGCAAATTGCAAAGGCACATTAAGCATTTTTCAATTACAGTAGCTATAAATGATTAAAACAGATGTATATGAGCTGTAGGCCTACAACGCTGACATTTTAACAAGTCTCCAGCAAATGACAAGACTCGGTCTAAACCTCGTACATATCTGGACCTCTGGTCAAATCCTGATTTTTATATTTATAACTGCGACGTCGTCTGACAAAATCACCAAACGCATACATTAAAGACAAAGACTGAGCTGTGAGTTCAGCTGGATTCACTGTAACATGATCAGAGAAAAAGTTAGAAGAGACGACCTGTCTTTTGAGGGAGAGAGAGAGAGAGAGGAGAGAGAGAGAGAGAGAGAGAGCCAAACAAAGCGGTAATGATACATGTAATGAAAGTAGTTTGTAGTGTATTTTACTGTGTGGGCTTGTGTGCTTTCTTTGTGTGTGTAACAGCAGATGGCCTGTTACAACTGGTCTGGCTTGTTAATGCATCACAGGCGGTGTCACAGTCGCGGTCATGTCACATTTGTGTTGCATTATTCACTTTACGTTCACGCGAGCCTCTTTACTAAATAATCTTGTTGAATTTTACTTTCCTTACATTTCACGTTTTTTTATCGCGAGTCGAGCTTTTTTATCTCCAATGTGTGTCAGTGTTTGACAGTTGGTGCTGAGATACATTTGACTACCTTTTCCACACCAGTAAAGTAACAAGTAATTTAGGCTGTGGTTTTTGCAGAATGTTTATTTTGGGCGTGAGGGTGGGACATTTAACTGGTTAGAGCACCCACAGACAATCATACATAATTTGGCGCCTATGCACTCTGACAAAGCGCAATAAAAAGACTTTTCAAAACTGCTTCACTTGTCTTAGTGTTGGAACAGCCGCAGTTGGCACTGAAATCAGTGTTTGAGTGAGAGAGGACAGACGGAAGGTTGGTGATTTTACAGCAACCTGATCAAAGAGGAAGAGACGCTTCTCTCTGAATTCCCTACAGCCTTGAACTTTCTGATTGAGCCTGATCTGATCTGTTCAGAAAATTTAAGATGGAGCGGGAGAGAGAGATGAACGGAGTCCAAAGTTCCTTCTTTTTACAGAGCTGTACTTTTCTTCAGGAGGAACTTCTGATTACGTAACACACCAGTATATCAGCGAAGTAGAGCCCCGGCACAATTAGCCCTCCTGTGGAATCAGTCACCATGGTGCTAATGCGTCACACAGCCATCTGACTGTCTCACTGCTATTTTTAATTAGAAATAAGAGAAAAACCCACTCAGAGCTCATGTGGTTTCCCTTCTGCACGTTACAGAGGACAAGGTGACGCTGGGAGATTTCTTTGGGAACTTGAAGGTCTGCTTGTGCCTGTTTAGCAGAGATAGTGGTGAAGTCCAGAAACCCATCTCACTGCTATCTCTGCCCGAGACACACACACAGACACACGCACGGACACACGCACGGACAAACACACGCACGGACAAACACAATGACGGGTTGTTGGAGGCAGCATTTACACACGATGGACAGGCTGGCCTGGACACACTGTGAGATGGGGCGGGTCACTGGAAATAAAAATGAATGAGGGCAAAGGAAAATTGAAAACTGAGAGAAATGGTGGAGGGAGGCAGGAAGGCAGAGTGGTGTGTGTGTGTGTGTGCGTGTGTGTGTGTGTGTGTGTGTGATAAGAGGAGCTGTACAGTAAAGGCTGTTGAATTGACCTGTGTGAGGGCAGAGGAAGGTCTGGAGCAGAGGTTTTACAAAGGAAAGAGCCAAAAGCATTGAGGTTGAGCGGCAGCCTCACGAATAAGGAAAACCCAGAGTGGGGAGAGTGCAATATGTTGGAGGAGGGATATTATTAAGTGTAGAGGTAGCATGAAAAATAAAACGGCAGAGGATGAGGACGTTGTATGCAGAAAAGAGTCCGGGCATGATGAAGCATGTCTTATGGATTGATTAAAAGAGCTGTGGTGGATATGGTTGACATCACTCAGTTATTAGAGAGGAAAATTACTTGGTATATACAAAATATCAAAGCTCAGTTTTGTACAGAAAGTTTCCAAAATCTACAGGAATAATGTCAGCAGAGCTAATACTTTACTGACTACCACTGACCGCAGTCTATCAGCATCTTATATCTTCAGTGTTCCTCTCTGAAAAAGGTTGCAAAGACCCTCTGATGAAAATCAAGTGTTTAACCTTGTTAACATCCATATGATGTTTTTATGTAATACAAGGCATACAGTCAGGTCCAAATGTATTTGGACAGTGACATGTTATTTAAAATTGTGTCTCTTTATACCACCACAGTAGATTTGAAATGAAGCCAATAGGTGATTTGAGTGTAGTCTTCCAGCTTTCATTCAAGGTGTTTAACAGAAATATTGCATTAACTGTTGAGGAATAACAACTACTTTTATACATACTCTCCTGTTTTCAGAGACTTGAAAGTAATTAGACAAACAGACAAAATTCTAATTATAAGCATAATTTTGAATATTTGGAGAAAAATCCTTTGCAGGCAACGACTGCCTGAAGTCTGTCACCCATGGACTTCACCAAACGCTGAGTTTCCTCGCTTGAGATGCTTTGCCAGGCCTTTACTGCAGCTTCCTTCAGTTGCTGCTGTTTGTGGGTCTTTCTGCCTTCAATTTTGTCTTAAGTAAGTGAAACACATTTTCAATTGGGTTGAGATCAGTTGACTGACTTGGCCATTGAAGAATATTCCATTTATTTGCCTTGAGAAGCTCTGTGGTTGCTTTTGCAGCGTGTTTTGAGTCTTTATCCATCTGCACTGTGAAGCACTGTCCCATTAGTTTTGCAGCATTTGTCTGAATGTGAGCAGATAGTAGCTCTATACACTTCAGACTTCATTCTGCTACTTCTATCAGCAGTCACATCATCAATAAACACCAGTGAGCCAGTTCCATTGGCAGCCATACACGCCCATGCCATAGCACTACCTCTACCGTGTCTGACAGATGATGTGGCATGCTTCACATCATGAGCCATTCTTTTCCTGTGCCACGCTTTTCTCCTCCCATCATTCTGGTAAGTTCATCTTTGTTTCATCTGTTCAAAGAACCTTGTTTCTTTTTCAGTTTTCTGACAAAGTCTAATCTGGCCCTCTGTTCTTCAGTCTTAACAGTGGTTTGCATCTTGTTGTAAACCCTCTGGATTCATGAAGGTGTCTCTTGATTGCAGACTTTGACAGTGACACGCCTAGAGACATACCTCGCCCAAAGTATTCTTGATTTCAGTAGATGTTACAAAGGGGTTTTT